GCCCAGGATGGGCTCCTCAGATGCTGCGGACCATGCCTATCCGGTATCTCCACAAGGTACTCCTTTCTTTTCAAATTCATTCGTGCCATTTGACATTCTTATTTGTGTTTCTAGAAAGAAGAAAGTGTTCCTAAAATTTCAATACCACTAATACAAAGAGGAGCAATTCTTCCGTGTTTTCGAGATTTTTTTACAGGCTTGTTAGTTCATAATCTGTGCTCTTTAACCTATGACACTTACTACTGAACGGCTCGATATACTTTCAGCAGCTTGCTCTCTGCAAAGCCTCGTAGCTGCCTCTCCTGCAAAGTCTGAACTAGCTGAGATAGTTCCACAAGAAAAATCGCCAAAAGGTAAATATGCCAGCTTGTGTTTCCTGTAAATAAAGCCGTGTGGTTCAATCTGATTTTGCTATTCCATAATGTCCATTCCATCAATGCTTTCTGATTTTGCTATTGCAGTTCATCGTCGATCGTTCTTCTCGTTCCGATCACTCAACTGCGGTAGGGGCTGATGACCCTGCTGATCCAATGCATTGGGAATGTAGTTACTGTAAATTCTAGAAACGAGGGTTTTGTGCTTGATGTGTTATTGCCTTGTGTCTGATGTCTGTATTATTTGTGTAATCTGTCATCTAGCCTGGCGTATAAATTAATAGTAGGTTTACATATACTATAGATCCATATCGTGCGTGAAGTGTTTACCTTCTTCAGTTTATTCCGGTGCTCTTATCATAGTTCATTCATGAATTGTCGCAATCATAATTTGTCATCTGTTTGACAGTGGCAGCGCCATGACAGAGAATAAAACACTTTTTGTATACCCATTGAGAAAGAAAGGTCAAATGGAGGGAAAATCTTGCCATGGAATAATCACGAAACGGGTGACTCATGCAGTTAAGATTGACAAGCAGGAAGCATCCTGCATTTTTGGATATGACCTTACTCCTTCTGTCTAAAAAGATGCAATTATATATTTAAAATAAGTTTAGCTAAGTTTTGAGAAAAATACCATTAACATTTATGACTAAGATAGATATATTATAAAAATATATTCCATGTTTAATCTAATAATACTAATTCAGTTCCATAAATATTAGTGTTTTATTTAAATATAGATTTAGTCAAATTTAAAACCGTTTGATTTTTCAAAAACAAAAATCACATTCTTTCTTAGACAAATGGAGTACGGACTATATTAAGAATAGCCAAGCAAAAGACACCGTGGTACCTCAAACAGTGCCAACACAGTTAGCTATAAGGATGGACAAATTGAATGGACGGAGAGAAAAGCCCGTTAATAGAGTCTATACTTATTCCAGTATACATGTGACATTATACATGTGACATGTAGAACCAGTTTGATAGGACTTCATCTCTTCTTAAAATAGCTTCGGCTCTATCTCTTTTGGTGAGCAGAAGCATTTAAAAAAAATGTTTGGCAAAAAACGGGTTTAATATAATGGTAGTTTTGTCATAATCTCTATCATGTTTGTGAAAACTTCTATATCCAAAACAATGAAAAATGAAGGTGGCGTGGATTGAAGCCACATTTTTTAGCTGCTTTGGTGCCCCTCTGACCTAATTCGATTGGAGTGGCTCCATGGCAAGAGACGCGAGGAGCCGGAGAAGGCACTGTGCCAGATGTGCCCTTAACATTTCCATTATATGTGGACCCGTATCCTTTTGAAGAACGTGCTATAGCTAACATGAGATAGGTGATGTATCATCTTGCATTACTAATTAGAGGTCTTAATTGAATGTCCACATTACTTCTCACATGAGACACTAGGAAAAACATGATTTCCTAAAAGCTTTCACAAAACTACAAGCACTTAGCCATCTATTCAGTAGACTCTAATCATCATTAATAATAAATGTCATTGTGCATGTTTTATTTTCTAAAATTATCCATCCTGATATTATAAATTATAAAATAGTCTAAAGTAACGCTAGATGTTGATCTAAATGATCTACCTGTGACATTATATTAAATAACCTAAAGTAACCTTACAATTTGCATGTTTACGCACGTATATTATTATAAAAAAATATATGGTCCTGTTTGGATCATTGGAATTGAATTCATTTTAATAATCATAATTTAGACACATATTAATAAAGCTAATATGATTGTATATGGATATATTTGTATATTATTGTTGACTATACAAGAGAAATACTTATGTGTTGTATTTTTACCGTAGGGGAGCGAGTTGAAGAGAGTATTATAAGTTGCAAAGTAGAAATATAGAATGGTGATCTATATAATCAATTTCCATTTCCCACCTTATGAATTTGAGATATGCTTATATGCGAATTTTGGAAAGTGGTGGAATGTCAAATTCCAAGTCGAATAGCTTAATTTATTAATAAGTATATTTCAATTCCTCCAAATGAAAGGATCCAAACAGCCCCTAAAAGTAACCACATAGATTAACATCTAAATTTTCCACCGCAATTGTTAATAAAAAAATACCTAAGGTAAACCTACATCCAAATTAGCTACATATGTGATTATTTCACAGAAAGATAGGTTAATTAGTCATACTACTATAAACATTGATTATTGATCTATTTAAAAAAAACATGTCATTACACCTTGATAACGATATTTCCACATACAGGTCACTGTATATAAACACATGGGAGTATAGGCCATGTGAATGTCACGTCAGGGAAGCCCACGCAGCCGGCGCAGGAATGCTACGCGTACGACGGTGCTGCTGCGGCGGCCTCGGCCCAACTGTGAGGCGGTGACCACGGCCCGAACACCAGGCGCATCGCAGCGTGGCCGCGTCCAGCGGCGTCGCTGGGCACCAAGGTCGACGTCCTCCGCTCTCGTCGTCTCCTTGTCGATGGCGGCAACGCGAACGCCCACCGACACAGAGGTCCGCCATTCCTAGGCCACCGGAGATCATGGCGTGCTTGAGCAAAAAAAGGAAAACAGTGTCTTATTATCAGTTGGCTTTCAAATATCTGATGATGGATTGAATGGACACCACCCAGCTGGAATGTACCGAGACACTGGACACTGGTCGTCGATCGGCATCTTCTGCTTGCACATAGAAGCATCTCCAGCAGAACCGAGTGACTTCTAGGTAACCAGTTATTCTAGATAAGTCATAGTACATCTAGACCGAGAGGTGGAGACAGAGAGATAGAGAGAGAGGTGTTGGTGTTGAACTTGAGCCCTCGAAGGGAGTCGTGGATGAACTGGAGCCGGCCATCTCAGGTTCGGTGATGAAGGTCTGCGCACGGACAGTGACGGGTGGAGTAGAGGTGGCATGACGTCGATGCAAAGGCGCATGACGATTACGGCGGTGGCATGTTGACACGGCGAAGTCGATGGAGCTTTCCGTCGCCGGGTGCAAGGCGCCCTTTCAGATCGGTCTAGGGTTTTACGTGGGGTTTGCGGCTCACGGTGAACCTCGTACCTCGAGCCGCCGCCCCCACCACTTTTATATATAGCGCGGTCTGACGACGGGACGCACCAACCATGAGGTTGGGCGCCCCGATCGTATGCAGCGTGACCAAAGCCCAATAATAGGCCGTTGGACTTATTGGTCGGGAGATCAATCTAACATTCTCCTCTTTGATCTCACACTATTATTTTTATCTTTAAACTTTAAACTTCAATCCTTTTATCCTTACTCATTTCTTCATAGATGATGCATAGAGCATGTTTCATAAATCACGGTCAATCACGATAGATTTAACAACTACAATGCACGTCTCGATCTGAAATAGTTACTTTAACTTTTGGGCCATTTATAGTTCAGGAATCATAGGCTTTCCCTTAAACCCATGCCGGCTACATGTTCTTTGAACACGTTGGGTGGTAAGCCTTTTGTAAGCGAATCCGCGAGCATCTTTTCGGTACTTATATGCTTAAGACTTATCATTTGATCCCGGACTTTATCCTTCACAACATAATACTTTATGTCAATGTGTTTGGCAGCACCACTTGACCTATTGTTGTGAGCATACTGTACTGCTGGATTATTATCGCAGTATAACTTCAGTGGTCTATTGACGTCGTCAACCACCTTCAAACCAGGTATGAACTTCTTTAGCCAGTTCAACTGTCCCGTTGCCTCATAACACGCTACAAACTCGGCAAACATTGTGGACGATGTAGTGACGGTTTGCTTTGAGCTTTTTCATGAAATAGCTCCCCTTGCGAGAGTGAACACATATCCAGATGTGGATTTTCTATTATCTCCCGCATAATCAGAATCTGAATATCCCACTATATGGAGTGAATCCGATCTTCTATACGTCATCATGAGGCCTTTCGTTCCTTGCAAATAACGCAAAACTTTCTTTACTAATTTCCATTGTTCTATTCCAGGATTGCTCTGGAATCTGCCAAGTAACCCGGTAACAAATGCTAAGTCAGGGCGCGTACACACTTGAGCATATTGCAAGCTTCCGACAGCTAAAGCATAAGGAACCACTTTCATTTGATCGATCTCATATTGGTTCCTAGGACATTGAAAATCCCCATATCTGTCGCCCTTGACTATAGGAGCAGGTGAGGGACTACATTTGTGCATACTGAATTTCTTTAAGACTTTTTCTATGTATGCTTTTTGTGACAGTCCTAATACCCCTTTACTTCTATCTCGGTGAATCTCGATCCCTAGAACGAACGAAGCTTCACCAAGATCTTTCATATCAAATTTTGAGGACAAAAACTTCTTTGTTTCTAGTAGTAGACTGACATCACTACTAGCAAGTAAGATATCATCCACATATAGGACAAGGAAGATAAACTTCTCATTCTTAAACTTTGCGTAGACACAATTGTCCTCAACATTATCTTTAAACCCAAAATTCTTT